CTGAGTTGCCGCCATGTGATTGGCTGATTAGAAATTAAGTGTTAACGAGCAGTTGGACAGGTGTACCTAATAAAGTGGCCGGTGAGTGTACATTGTTTGTTAGGGGGGACTACTTTGTGGAGCATATGAATATTTTTAGGTGGGGCAGCATCCTACCTGTACTTATGGACCAGCCCTCTGAGATTTTTTGAAAGGACTGAGGTGGGAAGGTTGGAGTCAACATGCCTTTGCTACATCTTTGAGTCACTAAAACAGGAAATAAAGGATCAAACATAAAAGGTTCACCAGCATCACAGATCTATATGTCCAGTTCCATAAGTGTTTTATGAACACCCAGAGGCAGCTTCCGGACAGGCTCGAGAAGCTATTATTATATCATTAAATCAACTCACCTGTTGACATGTGGAAGACTTTCCTAATAGGAACTTGGGCAGAATGTCTTAAAAAAAGCCTCACAGAGTCTAAGAACAGGTGCATGTCACCAGTTTTCTCCTGTTCTTTGTCTGATGCAGACAAACAGTTTGTGGCCATGACTGAAAGTCAGAAATGTCAGGAAAAGTGCAAACGCTGAAAAGAAAAGATTGACGTCCAAAATTACCCTGATGGCAACAAAAGGGATTGCAGCATGGGTTACAATAACACAAACCTGCTGAAATCTGAAATTGGGTCTGAATTTTACCTGCTAAAATCTATTTGTTGAACTAGTTTGAGGAAACGTTTATTTTGACAGTAAAGTGTTTAGTAATATCACACTGCTAGGTCAACAGTGCCTTGTGACTGGAAGAGGTACATTCAACACATTCATTTGGGGTTTCATGTGAAATTTTACAGCTATAAACATTACAGTATATAAATTATGTGAAGTCAGGAAGTAGTGCCCAGTGTTTCATTTGAGCACCTCTTTCATTATTGTGGAATAAAAATACATGSTCACTGCTGTAACAAGCAGATATAAGTGCTTTAACTCTGCTGAAGGTGGAACATGCCCCWCTCATTTCAGTATCAGCAGATTAACTCTGTGGAGTGTAAATGTCTGGTATGTTTTGCAGGGATTAAAGGTATTATCTTCACTCTACCACACAGGGTAACATCTTGAACCGTGGACAATGAAAGCTTCCTCTAGTGGTGTGTGTGTGTGTACCTTCTTTATGCTACCTTTTAAGGACTTTTTTTGTGCATTCACCTCCTTTGTCAGGTCTCTTTGTTGTTATGGGGAACAAAGAGCAGTCTTCTTGCAGTAGAATGTTATTTTCGGGTTAAGGATTAGGGCTGGAGCTAAGGTTTTAATTGAGTTAAGGTTACTAGTAATGCTTAGAGGTAGGTTTGGATTGTATGGTTTAAGGCCTGAACACACTCCTTTCGAAGCCGACCATGAGATGCGCAGTCACGCGGTTGTTCGGCATTTGTTTTTGCAGACACCTTTCATAGACCCCGAGACACACTGCGCTGAGCTCCTGGGAAGCCCCTCCCGCTGCAGCATACGTCACTGCACGGGGTTTCTTCCCCAACAATCGCTTCTGAGAGCGAGTCATTTTTTTTGTTTTGTTCTTTTGGAAGCGAGTGGTTGACTCAAAGTGCAGCGTGCGAGCGCTTTCAGCACAAACACTCCCACAAACTTCTGACCAGTCACACAG